ACTTTTCTCTGTCTCTGTCCTTCCAGATAAAGTTCACCCACTCAAATGACGACCGGGTCAAGTTGTCCAAGTTCATGTGCCATGATATGAGGACGGCAGACAGGTTTTACGTTGCCAACTTGACCCCCCAGCAGGCCATGGAGCACCGGAAGCTCTTTGATGCTGCCCTGGAGGGTGAGGAGAGGGGCTCCCCGTCAAAGGAGCTGACTTCCCGGAAGTGCAAGCGACCTGCAAAGGGTAAGGAGCCCCTTAAAAAGAAGAGAGCTCTAAAGTCCCCGGACAAGGAGCTAACGTCGGGCAGCATGACTCCAGAGCTGACCAAGAGTCTGGAGTACCAGGAGTCTGGGACGTTCAGCCCCGAGTCCAGTAAGTTGGCTTCCTTTGACTGCAGTGTCATAACATCCCTTTGCAACATCATGACCAATCGCTTACCATGTCTTTGTGCGTGTGTGTGTTTGTTTTACTTTGCACAGCATGGGGAGCAGAAGGAGGAGAAGGGCGGTTCAGGAGGAGGAGCGGCGGTGGGATCCCAAGAGGAGCAACAGGGACAGAAGACCACCCCCAAGAAGTACCAGCGGCGGAGATTGAATGGTACGGTGCTCCTGATTCACCTAAAATCGCTAGGATCGAGCCAGAGGCATGTGTCGCCGCTTAAGGTTAAAAAGGCCATCTTTTCCCCGACCTCCACGACTGTTGTCGGACTAACCCGCCAAAAAAGAAGCGCAGACAGCGTAAATAGGTGTTGAGTTCACTTTTTCCAGTGTTTGGCTTTTTTGGAGAGTGTTTGTGTGTTTGTTCCATGAGAGATTTTTTTGTTGTAAAATGTAACTTTTCTAAGGACAAATGCTAGCCTAGCTCTATTCTGTGAGGCGCGTTTGTAACGTCACGTAATACGTAATTACGTTCAAAAGGTCACGGGCGACGTAGCCGAAAGTACAGAATCAAAATCGTCCGACATCGTTGTTTTACCTTATAATTCCTTTTTTGTAAACGGTGTTTGAGTTAGTTTTCACGTTCAACCTATGCGTTCAACTTGTAAACACTCTGACTCTGTACTTCTGGCTACGTCGCCCGTGACCTTTTGAACGTAATTACATACTATGTGACGTTGCAAACGCGCCTCACAGAATGGAGAAAGGCTAGCATTTGTCCTTAGAAAAGTTACATTTTTGGAATAAGCATTGAAATAACCGATCGTTTCGCATGATAAGACCCTTATTCATCGTCTGGTGTCGTTTAAAGACATTTGAAGCTGCATCTGAAACTGTTATTAACACTATCTTTTGGACCTGAACCATCCGGTTCCCATTGAAGTCCATTATATGGAGAAAAATCTTGGAATGTTTTCATCAAAAACCTAAATTTCTTTTCGACTGAGGAAAAAAAGACATGGACATCTTGGATGACATGGGGGTGAGTAAATTATCAGCAAAAGTTTTTTCAAAAGTGAACTAATCCTTTAATGAGATGATTAAGTGATTAATTGAGTGAGTTAATTGAGTTAATCCCTCTTTGTCTCCTCCGTCCTCCATCCTATGACCCAGAAACCAATCGAGCTCAGCCATCTTGAAGGACATCTCAATTCTCTAATTGCACCGTGAGGAGTCGAGGAGTGAGGAGACTTCCAGAGGAGGCATGATCGAGGATACGCAGGTGTATCCTAAGTGATTTATTGACTAAACATGACGCACTTATCAATTCTCCTCCCCCTTCACATCGGTCACAATCATTTAACTTTATACTTTACCTTTGCAGTTTATATAAACCACACATCTCACGTATTTCAACAGTGTAGCCTGTGTTTATTATTATCTATTATAAATTAATTAAATAAGCCTCAAAATCCTCCCACACTCATAAGAATAATAAAAACCTTGTGCTTGCTCTTGAGTTTGTCTTGACTTATTCTTGTTTAGGTATTGGGGTTGGGAGCTAAACCTTGCTGCCTCCACACATCACACCATTTTATTATGTTACACGTTACTTCAACCCTAGACTAGATAGGGACGTAACAGAAATGTTGAGATCAGAAAATCCTTTGGTGAAAGACAATTTTTACACACCAATGTGAATATTTATGTTTTTGCATTTCAAATAGGGCCAATATATAAGCTTGTTCTAGGATTACGTTTTTAAATTACAAAGGGCCTACTTATGTTTTTGTTATTGTATTTTCAATATTATATGCTATTATTTGTGCATAATCATATTTGGTTATAGTAAACATACCATTTGAAAACTACATATTTTGTCATCCTTGCTGCAAGCTTGCAAGAGCGATAATATCATTAAATGTGAAGGGGGGCCCTAAAATTGTCTTGGGAAAAAGGGGGTCCACTGGGAACCACTGCACCAGAGGATATTACAGTCAGGTCCAGTTTGGATCCAGCCTATTATGGAAATTTTAGACGCCTCAACGCCTTTGAAGAGACGACTTTATTCAACATACATTATCACAACTAGTAATAATTACTTTAATGAGCTCATTGTTACTGCCTTTATAAGCTAATTGTGTGATATGTCTTCCCATAGAACTATACATTTCTGAAATATGGACATTACTCAGACACTTCTGACAACAGATACCTTTCAGGCATTATTGAGGAGACTCATCTACACATTCATTTGACACCTGAATCACTCCCAGAAACAGCATTGTTATGCTGCTAGCAAATCCTAGGTTTAGTGCCGTACAATATGCAAAGACTGGTATAAGTGTCTTTGACGTAGAAATGCCGTATTGTTTTTTTGTTGTTGTACATGTGTCTGTTTTATGTATGTTGCATGTTATGTCTGTGCCTTCTGAATGGATCAAGAGTCTGGAAGTAAAGTTGATATATGAAATAATATGCATGTGAAAAATGCTATACAAAAATGGGAATGAGGTTTATTAAAACCAATGAGGTTTATTCTCGTGTTACGCATCACGTTTGAGCTTCAGCAAGAACCAATGAGGTTCATTCTCGTGTTACGCATCACGTTTGAGCTTCTGCAAGAACCAATGAGGTTCATTCTCGTTTTACGAAGCACGTTTGAGGTTCACAAGAACCAATGAGGTTCATTCTTGTGTTACACAACATGTAGAGAATCGAGGCGAATCAAACACAACTTAATCAAATTAATCTCTCATGGGATTAATTCACATGGCTTCAACACTCCAAGTTCTGGAGCCCACATTCCAGAGTCACGGAACGACTCCGTGCTGTCTGCAGATAAGGACTTTTATTGCCCCACAGGCCCAAGAGATGGGCACTAAACAGGACGAACGTGTCAATATGGTAATGTTACTAAGACAAATCACAACAAAGACCCCTTTGATCCCCTGACAGAGATGTTCCACAGAACACCTTTGCCTCGTCCCCCTTCGAGTTGAACTCTCAGTAACCTTACGGTTGAGATCGAAGATCTCACACATAAAATAATATGAACTCACCACAGAACAATTCTTGGACCTATAACCAATCATAATTCTTGTTGTTCCTACACTTCATGTGTTATTATGCTTAGATCACATAATAATCATGTAATTGTTGTTAACTATTAACTCTTGTAATTGTTATACAACCATTAGAAGTGTGAATGCCTCGTTTGCTCTTAAACGAACCGTATTCTCGTAATTCAAAAGATGGCTTGACTGAAATCTGTCTAAAATGCTTTGTTTTATGATTATAATATATAATCTTAAACTGTGTTCTCTTGTTCTCTGCTAAGTGCTGGAGACCAGGCAGCTCACAGACCATGCATAAATTATGATAAGCAAGAAGTAGATCCGCCTCCAATTGGCCAGAAGTTCCTAGGAGGTTGGACTAGAGTTTAAGTTAAAGATCCGAACAAAGGACCTCATGTTCAGAAGATTTCAGATGATTTTTGATTTTAGATGATTTTAGATTTTTGTTCTGTTCTGTAACTGTTAAGTCCGTGCCTCTCTCTAAAACCAGCAAGAGAGTGTTCTGTTCGTGCTTATCTCTGAAACAAAGAACATGTCCACATGCTTCTACATCGACTAGACCAAATTCGACCAGCAGACGAATAACCCATCAAGATCAGGGTTACAATTCAGCTCAGTCAAGCCATCCGACTCGCCTTGCTTTCATTTCTTTCCTTTATTTCCTTTTTCGTAAAAGTCTCGTTTCAAAGTTAAGTTTGCAACGCGCTTCGAATTGGAAAAGACTCTCATTCGCTTGCTAATCACACGTGACCAGCGGCGAAACTTCCATCCCTGCACTTCAAAGACAACAAACCACGCAACGGACCCGGCCGGGAAACCCCCCCTTCGACGCGACGCAGACAAAGGGAATTCCCTCAGCCACTACAAAGCGCAAGTACTCCAGGCTCTAACTGAACTGGTGCTTTAATGTTAATTGAATAACCTCTCTAAGAAACGAAGGTTCAAATTAATGCTTGGTGGTCCTTTCAGGTTATGTCTTACGTGCATATAGAAAGTTGAAACTTTCTCTCACTCTTTCCAACTCACTCTTTCCCTTTCGCGACTGTATGAATGTGTGTGTGCGTGATTATGTTTAGACCTTAGTTTTGTGCTTAGAATAGCTAATAAAGTCTTGTCCATATATTTGAAAAGATAAATCTTCTTGTGTCGTGTTTGCACATTTAATGTCTTGTACTGTTCGATTTAAAGTTACCTTGCTAAGACATAGTGTTTCACTATAGATTTGGTTATAATTACGGCCCGTTCAAATGAATTCTAAGCGAGTCATTTGCTCGGTTCAGTGATTCGGTTCCATAGATTCATTGCAAATCAATGAATCATTTCCCTTTGAGCTAAATTGGCCTTCGGCCCCCTTAAATACATTTTATGTATATTATTAAATGTTGCATTTGCTACACACAACACGTTTGAGCTTCAGCAAGAACCAATGAGGTTCATTCTCAAAGTTTAAAATCTGTTTATCACATAAAAGTGATCGAGTCTCTTTAGAAAATACATACTAAACCACTTGATTCAATTAGATTGGTTTAATTATCTCTTTTTTAGGGCAACAAAAAGGTAGAAGCAAATACATATTTTCTGACGCCATTATAAATTGCTGAGCCAGTTAAGCTTTTGAGAATTTTCCAAAGACACACAAAAAGATAATGAATAGGGCCCCAAATCTGCATAACTCAGTCATATATCATTTTTTTTCAATATCTTTTTTCACTTAGTAACATTACGATAACTTTTTTATAATGTTAGCAGTTCTTCATGTTTGCAAGTCTCTTTTTCACACCAAAGAAAAGTGTAAGGGCTCTCTCCAGTGGGAACTGTTGAATCTGAAACTCTTTCCACAGTGATTGCACATGAAAGGCTTCTTTCTGGTGTGAGTTGTCTGTTTAAAGATGATTCCTGTCTAGTGAAGCTCCTTCCACACTGATTACATATATAACAGTCTTTCTTTAGTGAATTTTCATGTGGGAATTGAGGGTTACTTTAAATCTGAAACTCTGTCCACACTGTTGGCAGGTGAAAGGCATCTCTCCAGTGTGAATTCTCACGTGGACTTTAAGGCTTTTGTTTTGAGTGAACGTTTTTCCACACTGTTGGCAGGCGAACAGCTTCTCTCCAGTGTGAGTTATCATGTGGACTTTAAGGCTTTTGTTTTGAGTGAACGATTTTCCACACTGTTGGCAAGTGTAAGGCTTCTCTCCAGTGTGAGTTCTCATGTGGTTTTTAAGGTCTCCATTATGAGTGAAACTCTTTCCACACTGTTGACAGGTGTAAGGCTTCTCTCCAGTGTGAATTCTCATGTGGCCTTTAAGATGTACTTTTTGAGTGAAGCTCTTTCCACACAGTATGCAGGTGAAATCCTTCTCTCCAGTGTGACTTCTCATGTGGACTTTAAGATGTCCTTTATCAGAGAAACTTTTTCCACACAGTATGCAGGTGAAAGGCTTCTCTCCAGTGTGAATTAACATGTGTCTTTTAAGGTGTCCCTTTCCAGAGAAACCTTTTCCACACTGTTGGCAGGTTAAAGGGATCTCTTTAGTGTGAACTCTCATGTGGACTTTAAGTCTTTCATTGTGAGTGAAACTCTTTTCACACTGTTGGCAGGTGAAAGGCTTCTCTCCAGTGTGAGTTCTCATGTGGATTTTTAGACTCCATTTTTCATTGAAACTCTTTCCACACTGAGAACAGGTGAAATATCTAGTTCCTGTCTTCTGAGCTGTTTTTTCGTGTGGAAGTCTTTTTAGTTTGTGAGCAACTAAAATATTTTTCTTTTGTTAGGTCTTCATGATCTTTCTCTTCCTTCTCATTCAATACTTGACTTTCCATTTTCAGTGGCATCAGGCCTAAAGTGAACAGAGACGCGTACAAGATAATTCCAGTTTAATGAGATTACACGACACATATAGCAACATTTATACCAATGGTTCACAAAGTGGTTCCAAACTTCCCCCAAAAAACATTTCCAGAGTTCATCATAATATTCCACAAGAATAAAGTTTTTTTTGATCACCAAATCTATATTTAGGCATTATAATTATGGCATATTAAAAAGTTAAGGAAGTTCAAAACTTTATTTTTAACATTAAATCAAATATACTGTACTTAATAATTATTATTTTTTTATAAAATATGTATTTTACAAAATATTTTTATTATAAAATTACTATTGAATCAAAGCCATTTATCTAACTAAGTTGTGTTCCAACTTTGAAGTTGATATCACAAAAATTGAAGTTCCCGTGATTTTGTTTAGGCATATCAAAAATAGCCACCGGGTGACTTGCATTCCATTTAATTTAATTATTAAATAGTTAATTAAATTGAAATTAAAAAACTTCAAGTGAAATTAAAAATCACTTCTGTCACAAAATATGAAACCTTGAGACCCAACCTTTTTTAATCTTGACAAAACACATTGTCAGAAAGGTCTTTGATCATACATTATAAAACATAACGATGCCCAAAAGGTGAGGAGCCCATTAAAATAATTTAGAGTACCGTTTCTATGGTAACACAACATCCAATTTCAAAACGGGTTTCACAGGCTGAATCTTGAGTTCGTAAGAAGACATATAATTTGTCAATATTAGATCAGGTGAAGAATGAGATAATTGTTTTAAAGGGGTCATATAATGGCACATGCACTTGATTGATTGTGCTGCAATGTGTGTTGCCAGTGCCTGTACAAAACCATAATTTAATGATAAAGATCCACCCAGTGGTTTTGTTCTAATCTCCTTTGTTTCAACACAGACCCGCCCTGAGCGAGCCGTCATCATAGACTATAGTCCGCCATTGTTGATACACTGGAGCAGAATGGCGTCTAAGCGACTGTGTTGTTCTGTTCTTGGGTGCAATAACAAACAGAAATCATTCTGATGTTCCTAAATTTGAACCGCTGAAGACGCAGTGGCTGAGTTTTGTTTTCGAAGGGAATATTCCCCACGATCAACGTCAACACTTTCAAGTTTGTGCGAATCTTTTCTCACCAGACTTCTTTATAAACGAGGATCAGTATAAAACTGGTTTTACTAAGAAGCTGCTCCTGAAAAAATAATCGGTACCAACTATATGTTCCCTCTGCACCTAAAGTTTTATTAATCTTTATATTAATCTTTGCAAATTGCGGGAAAAAAGTTTTTCATGACCATTAGTTGTAACGTCAATATGTCAATGAACTAACCTATACACCACTAAAAACACAGCGTTCGTATCTCACAACTCTACTCTGCCAGTGCATACAAAGATGGGTCAAAATAACATTACGTTAACCAACCATTCAGAAACGTCCTCAACCCTTAAGTGTCGAACTTCTTTGCGGCCGTCATCTTGTTCTGATGCGACTCCGGTTCAAATTGATACGGTTGCACAGATGTTTGTCACAGATGAGACTCCCGCTGCCATTCTCTCTCCAAATATCCCTCAACTGTTGTCATGGCAACACTCCACGTGCGCTGTGTCTAAACACCGCAGAACAGGTTTATTATTTAAAGAGCATATTGCAGGTAAAAAAAAATCTTATTTTGATTAACCTTGAAAATACCAATATGAAAAGTTAATGCAGAATTTAAAATGTTCTAAAACAATATAATGCACTAATTTAGTAGATAAAGTGAGCGTTTCTTTTGGACTTGGACGGCTTTTTTTTCCAACATTGCGTCATTTTACGTCATATCAGGGAGCCTCAGCCTCGGCTCAGTGAAGAGTATGCTGGTATTCAGTGAGAGCTGGCGTCAGTCAGTGTGCTTTTTTGTATTTTAATGTATCATTGTCATGGTAAATTATTGTGTTTGTGGAGGCTGCAAAAACTCCAGCCTGTCAGGACTTCAAGATCGAGTCCACAAGTTTCAATTACAAGAAAAGGGCCAGTGCTAATAGCCTTTCTTTTGTTCCTGGTGCGGTTTGTGCAGGTGAAGAGACGGGATTCTCTTTCCGCATTGGCTTCGGAAAATGCGGGCAAGTGCAGCGTTCACTTCAGATCATCAAATGAAAAAATCCACTAAAAAAAATCCATATCGGCTCGATCCCTAATACTCAAGTATAGTTTTTTTATACATTTAAAGGTTAGTTCACCCAAAAATGAAATTAAGTCATTAAGTACTCACCCAATGCTGTACCAACCCCGTAAGACCTTCGTTCGTCTTCGGAACACAAATGAAGATATTTTTGATTAAATTTGAGAGCTGGATCACTCCTCTATAGACTTCCTAAGGGACTAGCACTTGACAGCCATAAAGTCATTAAAGAAAATGTTTAAATATTCCATGTGCCTACAGCGCTCAATTATAAGTTTATCAAGCGACGAGAATACTTTTTATGCGAAAAAAAACAAACAAACATAAATAACGACTTTATTCGACTATTCAATTACTTCCTTATGGGCCTTGAGACGAGAATTGAAGAGATTTCCAGAACGCATGCGCGAGAACTGAGATGAGGACGTTCTACTTCGACTACTTCTTGTTACCGGCTGCTTACCGCTAGTATTACCGCCCCCTACCGTATAAGATGACGTGCTGATATAGCTGGAAGCTCAAAACTTTCTGTTTACAAGCAGAGGAAGACGCGCGCTGTACATACGAATAAAGCGCTGTACATATGAATACGAATAATAATTTCAATTACCGTATTTTCCGCACTATAAGGCGCACTTAAAAGCCTTTAATCTTCTCAAATACGACAGTGCTGTGTGCCTTACAATCCGGAGTGCCTTATATATGGATCATCATCTTATACGGTAGGGGGCGGTAATACACCTAAGCGGTGAGCAGCCGGTAACAAGAAGTAGTCGAAGAAGAACGTCCTCAGCTCAGTTCTCGCGCATGCATTCTGGAATCTCTTCAATTCTCGTCTCAAGGCCCATAAGGAAGTAATGGAATAGTCGAATAAAGTCCTTATTTATGTTTTTTTTTTTCGCACAAAAAGTAGTCTCGTCGCTTGATAACTTATAATTGAGCCGCTGTAGGCACATGGGATATTTAAACATTTTCTTTAATGACTTTATGGGCCAATCAAGTGCTAGTCCTTTAGGAAGTCTATGGAGGAATGATCCAGCTCTCAAATTTAATCAAAAATATCTTCATTTGTGTTCCGAAGATGAACAAAGGTCTTACGGGGTTGGTACAGGCATGAGGGTGAGTAATTAATGACTCAATTTTCATTTTTGGTGAACTAACCCTTTAATAGTGTAAATCTACCCTAAACATACTAATGTCTGCTGGCCTGTTATAGGATCATAATAATCTGTACAGTATTGTGAGCACAGTGTATATCGTTAGCGAGCTCGCGTGTATATCTATAAGCACGTCTCTCACCAAAAGACACCTGTCCAGGGGCCTCATTTATAAACGTTGCGTACGCACAAAAGAAGACGTTGGCCACTCTCTACGCAATAGTTGGTATTTATAAGAAGCACTTGACGGTCTGTGCGGTGCTTCACGCCAGCTCTGACCCAGGTGTACGCACAAAAACGGGTGAAATGAGAAATGGCCGAGACCGTCGGCAGTTGGAAAAAAAACACCTGAAAGCGTGTGAAACTGTAGTACGGTTGTGTAAAATAAATGGCAATACTGCCTCTCATAAATAACACGAAGACTTCACAAAGCAAGTCTTTACAATTAACAGCCTACACGAACACCCGTTTGATCGATCTGTAAACAGAAATGCAAATTAACACGCATTTCCAAAGAAAGAAATATGTTTTCAATATTATTGGCATAATTCATCCTCATAAATAAGATGGTTAAACAGAACGAAATAATGTACAAAACTTATATTCTCGCCAATATGTCCGTTCTTAACGGAGCAGATATAGCAATTAGGTCGTCAGTCAGATAGATAGATAATTAGGGAGATATTATAGCCTAGATAGATCGATAAATAGATGTATTATTTGTCCACTGGGGAAGTTGTGTTTCATCATAAAAATATCTTCATCAGCTCCGGAATCATGGTATTCGTGAATATGCCTATAGATTGTTTTATTTTTGATAAAATAACGTATGACGTATGTTCAACCATTCAGAAAGCTGCAAGAAATTACATTTTGTGCCTGAACTATTTCTCACATTTAGATTATAAGCGACATCCGTAGCTTGTCAGATGCAGAATTAAATGGATGTAATAAAATGCCCATCACAATGCGTATAATGGCGCACAATGGCTGATCTTGCGCTCTTAGATGTGGCGATTAAATGGAAGGATTCGGAGTGAACGCATCTTCACAACAAAAGGTGTGGAAAAAATATATATAATTTATTCAAGAATTCCTCATTGTGCAGTTTATTTCAGTTAGGACAATCTTGATTTCACCCACTCCTTGGCCCCTCTCTAATTGAATTAATGACTAAACGCTTTTTTTGCCTCGACTTTGATGTCCGACCATTTCTTTTGTATTTCGGCACAGTCCGAGGTTGTATCAGCATTTTAGGTTGTGAGCACCACCTCGCCAACGATAACTTTTACTTCACATTGAGTGAAGTTACGTTTTTTTTTTTTTTTTTTAATTCCTCTCTGTGTTTAACATGATTTTGCAATTGATAAATATTAACTTGTGGGCATTTCACAGACCATTTATGGGCAACTATGGGCATGACATGAAGCCGCAAAAGCTGCGCTACATTTAGAATTGATTGTGATTTATTTAAGGGAAAAATGCGTAGGAAGTGCGTGCGGCACGGTTTTATAAATCCGAATATTTCTGTGCGTACGCACGTCCTATGTTTTATCCGTACGCCACTTCTGATGCAAATCCTACGCAAAGTTTTATAAATGAGGCCCCTGTTCTCCACTGGTTCTCCTCACATCACAGCTCAATTTTTCTCTGACCGTTCTGTCTGAAATGTCATTGCGACCCATGTTTTCCTGTTGCGTGAATCGACCGCTCTTTCCGCTCGTTGCGTCACGACCGCCACGCCCATTTTCAGACGCGGAAGTAAAATTTCTCTCACAAAACGACTCCAGAAGCTTCTGTAGCAAGTATATTTTAAAGAAAATTGGTTTTTCTATGCATTGACTCGTTGGGGTCCTCTAACTGCAATATGCCCTTAAAGACATGCACTGAAACGGCGTGCTGAAAACAGAGCTGATTTTGACCATGTAAAATTAGTGTTTTCTTTAAAATACTAATGAGAATTTTGAATAAAAGTACATTAGAAAGATTCATTTAGACCCTTAACATTCATAGTAACTTGTAAAAAAATGGCAGTATATGACCCCTTTAGACATACAGTGGCAGTAACAGTTAACATTAATGACATGGTCCCTTTTTGTATACCGTAATCAGGCAACGTATCTCAGGAGACAGAACTCATAAAATCCAAAAATATATCACATTTTTTAAAATTCTTTTGGATATGTTTTATCTAAGTCCAGATGATATAAAAAAAATTAATTACATTTTTTTTTTTTTTTTGCTTAGCATTTTCCACTCTTGCCTGTTTAAATGTGTTGGTTCACCAAAAATGAAATTTCTGTCATTAATACAGAGAAAGGTAGTAAATAAATCGTTAAAGGTGATCCATGTGAGAGTATAGAGTTGGTTGTACTCTTCAACAACAATTTAAATATTTGTAGAAATAAGACAGTTTGCTGATTGCAGTAATGAGACAATTGCAAATTTCGCCAGTTTCACAAATAATTTTTACTATATTTTAGGGCTGTAACAGTAACATGATGGTTCGGT